GCTGCCCCTGACCGTCATTAGCAAGCCCCTACCAAGTCTACTGGGCATGAAATGGTTCCGGGCCCTCGGCATGGGCTTCACGGGCGTTCACAACATCAGCAGATCATCACTTAAAGAAACCCTGCTCCACGAGTTTCGGGACGTTTTCGAAGAGACTCTAGGCAAATACGTGGGGACCCCTATATCTTTCAATTTAGACCCCAACGTAGCGCCAATTAGACTGAAAGCAAGGCGAGTTCCCTTTGCTTTAAAGCCCAAAATTGATGCGGAGCTCGACAAGCTCATTAAGCAAGGGGTGCTAGTTCCCGTGGATCACGCTAAGTGGGAAACCCCAATAGTTACGCCAGTCAAATCAGATGGCTCAATTAGAATTTGCGCTGACTATTCGATTAACAAGGCGTTGCAGCAGAGCGCCTATCCAATTCCAATAGTCCACCATCTACTACACTCCCTGGGCCCTGGCAAACTATTCGCAAAACTAGACCTTGCGCAGGCGTACCAGCAACTGCCAGTAGATGACGCTACGGCAGAATCACAGACAATAGTAACTCACAGAGGTGCCTTTAAATGCATCAGGCTTCAGTTTGGGGTCAGCATCGCCCCAGGACTTTTTCAGAGTACTATGGAGCACCTTCTACAAGGCCTCCCAGGTGTCGTCCCATATTTCGACGATGTTCTGATTAGTGGCCAAGACGAAGTTCAGTTGGGCCAAAGGGTTAGACAAGTCCTAACCAGATTCAGAGAAGCGGGACTTAAACTCAAACGAAATAAATGCAGGATAGCAGTGCCATCAGTGGAGTTCTTAGGCTACAGAATCGACGGCACAGGCATTCACCCCACAGAAAGCAAAGTGAGGGCCATCCAAGGCGCACCCACCCCCAAGTCAAAATCCGAGCTGCAGGCCTTCCTGGGCCTTCTCAATTTCTATACGATGTTTTTGAAACACAAAGCCACCGTTGCAGAGCCTCTGCACAGACTCCTGGGAAAAAACGTTCCGTGGGTTTGGGGCAAGCGAGAAGCGACCGCTTTTAACGTGGTAAAGAGACTTTTGTCCGAGGACAGTTTCCTCATTCAGTACAATTCTGAACTACCTTTCGTATTGGTCTGTGACGCTTCCCGCTTTGGCGTAGGCGCGGTTTTAGGCCATAGACTGCCGAATGGGTTAGAGGCACCCATCGTCTATTACTCTCGCACTCTGTCTAGTGCTGAAAGGAACTATAGCCAGCTAGATAGGGAGGCACTAGTGGCTGTAGCAGGGGTCAAAAAATTTCATGAGTATTTGTTCGGCCGCACCTTTGAACTCATTACAGACCACCAGCCACTTTTGGGACTTTTGGCTGGAGATAAACTGACCCCGGCGGCTCTCTCCCCCCGGATGACCAGATGGTCCATTTTCTTGGCCGCATATTCGTACAGACTGCTCCACCGGCCGGGCAAATCCTTATGACATGCTGACGCCCTCAGCCGATGTCCCTTGCCCGAACTATTGGACAACCCAACCCCGGAAGCCCCGGTTTTACTGCTTGACATTGTTTCCCCGGGCCCCATTTCTTCGAACGAGGTGGCGAGGGTTTCTGCCAGAGACTCTGTTTTGCGCACAGTAATGGGCTGGGTAACGAGGGGTTGGCCTACCAAGGTGGACGGTGGTAACTTCCAATTGTATTTTAACAAAAAAAATGAACTGTCAATGTTGGGGGGTTGCTTGTTGTGGGGTGACAGGGTGGTCATTCCTTTGCGGTTAAGGCACAGGGTTCTAGAAATGCTGCATGAGGGACACCCTGGGGTTGTTCGCATGAAAGGCCTAGCTCGTAGCTATGTTTGGTGGCCTCATCTTGACCAAAATATCACTGAGTGGGTGGGGAAGTGTAGGCCCTGCCAGGAGTCCCGCCCAGATCCTCCCATAGCGCCCGTTCAGGAATGGGAAAAACCAAAGGGACTGTGGGGGAGGATTCACATCGATTTCGCTGGCCTGTTCCATGGCCAGAACTTTCTAATCATTGTAGATGCATATTCTAAGTGGCTCGAAATTGCCTTAATGCCATCGACCACTTCTGAGGCCATAATCAAAGTACTCAGAAAACTATTCGCAACACACAGGTTGCCGGACACCCTGGTATCCGACAATGGGCCCCAATTCACGGCGACCCAATTCGAAGGCTACTTAGCCGAATTAGGCATAAGACATGCACTATCCGCTCCTTTTCATCCGGCTTCTAATGGCCTTGCTGAACGATTTGTAAGAACGGCCAAAGAAGCCCTCTCCCGACTCGATGCAGGGGACTGGCAGGCTAGAATAGATGAGTTCTTAGCGGTACAGCATGCCACCCCGTGCCCCACTTCGGGCTGCAGCCCGGCCGAACTTTTAATGGGCCGAAAGCTACAATGCGTTCTAGACAGACTGCATCCTAATTACTCTTCCGATAGCTTCACCGGGGAAGGGGAAGGACTAAGACACTTCGAAGTAGGATCACTAGTTTTTGCTAGAAGCTACACCAATGGGCCCTTATGGGTAGAGGGAACCATCGTAGGAATTACTGGTCCAAAGTCATACACAGTTGATATCGGGCATGGTAAAATCTGGAGGAGACATATAGATCAATTGCGTAAACGTTTACCAAACGAAAACTCGTGTCCTAACTATCCAAGTCTTCCCGACACAGCTACCTCAAGCCCGAGTAAGCCGGAATACTTATCTGGCAACCCTGAGTTCCAGCGCCGCCCCAGTGAGCCGACACTCGCAGCCGGAGATAGCCACACCTCCGGAGAAATCCAGGAGGTTCCATTGGCGGAGCCGGGAGGGACGGGAGGTCCCTCCAACCGGCTCAACGCCTCACCAACAACTGAACTGCGCAGGTCAACCAGGATTAAGACACGCCCTGGTCACCTGCGCGATTTTGTATGTAAATATGTAAATAGATAGAATAAGTGCCTTCTGGGAAGGGAGGGGTGTTGTGTATGTATCTATTTTGTGCGGGAAATTCAAATGCATAGTGAATCCTGATTGGTTCTTGGTCGCCTCTGGAAAGTATATAAAGAGGCCTGTTGCCTGTGAGTTTTTGCTGAAGTCTCACACCCTGAATTAAAGAGCTGTTGTTACTAGCCTGCTTGTGCCTCTCGTTATTCCCGCGCTACAACAGTCCTAAAGGTTCTTCTGGCAGGTTTCCAGGTCAGGTTTTCTCAATCTTGGCATTTCCCCAGCATCTCAGGCTGGGGAAGTTTGGGGAGGGGCGAGGAGTTGAGGTCAACCCATCTGAACGTGCCCTTTGAATGGCCAAGGAGGAGACGGAGGGGGAGAAGGGTCTCTTGCTTGAACAGGGGGTTGGACTGGAAGACCTCCAGGGTCCCTTCCAACTCAATTATTCTGATCAGGGGGGAGAGAGAGGGAGAAGGAGAAGGAGAAGGAGGAGAGAAAGGTTTCCTTGGTTACCCTCTGCAGAGTCTAAAGTCTGTAGAGACTTTCCCAAAATTTAAGATTTGTTGAAGATTTGTGGGCCTGAAATTGTGGGATGCTCCATCAATGGAGGTTTTCAAAAGTGGGCTGAAGAATCATTGCTAAAAGGTCTCTGCGGGGGTTTTCAAAGAAGGGAGTCCACAGCCATTGGTCCAGAACAGCACAAGGTCTCCTGCTTGCGCAGGGGGTTGGACTAGATGACCTCTAAGGTCCCATCCAGTCGTATGATTCCATGTTCACCAACATTTGTCCAGAATAGTATTGCTTCTCCTTTTGAGCAGGGGGTTGGACTAGAAGACCTCTAAGGCCCCAGTGCCCCATTTTACGACCATACTTGCCCCGGCGGTTAAGTGTTATTTGCTGCCGTTGCTAAGTCAGTCACAGGGTTGTTAAGTCAATCTTGACCTTGACTGTGACACTGCCACCGTCATAAATCTGAGTCAGTTGCCAAGCGTCTGAATTTTGATCACGAGACTAGGGGGATTCTGCCAACGGTCGTTAAGTGTGAAAAGTGGTCCTAAGTCCCTTTTTCAGTGCCGTTGTAACTTTGGATGGTCACTAAATGAACTGAACGTAAATCAAAGACTGCCTGGGATGGATGGATGGATGGATGGAAGGAGAGAGAGAGGGAGAGAGAGGATAGACATAATAGATATATAGATGGATAGAATTGATAGATGATAGATAGGCAGAGACAGACAGACAGACAGAGAGAGGAACAGAGAGATGATAGTTGAGAGAGGGGGGGGAGGACAGAGAGAGAGAGAGAGAGAAGGAAAGAGAGAGAGAAGATAGAAGAGAGATATTTACCCACCATCAAAGATTGTCGTGTGTGTGGCACCACACAGTTGCGCAAAGGAGGCTGATTGCACAAGGCCTCATTGTTGTGGGTCTGCCCCCTCCCCTTCCGTTGTCGTGTGACTCTTCGAAGGACGGCTGTGATGAGGCCAACTCCAGAGAGGAGAAGGACAGGCTGAGTCACCTGAATTTCGTGGGGAAAGTCCTCACCAAAGAGGGAACCCACAACTCAGCCGGCGTGGGGGGGGGGTGGGAAGTGCAAAGGGGAGCCTTCGCTTATGTGTCTTACTTAACAATGGAAATTGTGGTCATAAGTCGAGACTGTAAATTAGCTGTTTTCTCCTTCTTATTTCATCTACCTAGCGAGAGATGCCAAAGGCTGCCTGGTCTAGAAAACAGGGGGGAAATTCTCGAAAGAATCCATTTAATGAAAATAAATAAAAATTAAAGTTAAAGTTAAAGAAAATAAAATAAAAAATAAATCAGAATGAGAGTCAGAATGAGAATCAAAATCAGAATTTAAGCAGAAGAGGAGAAAAGGAAAGGAGGAAGGCTAAGAAAAGTGAACTTCCAATTGAGATTAAACATAATGAAGGAAATAAAATGCAGATAAAGGAACAAAAGAAGAATATGTTGGGGGGGGGAAGCTGGAAGCCCCAAATTTCACCAGGAAGAAATTCCCACAAGTGTTGTAAAAGCCCATTTCCCTCCTGACAAGAATTGCATTTTGCAAGAAACGCTTCGCTCTGTCTCATTTCAGCATTTATTGACTTGTTCTTAAAACAAAAAGATTTCTGCAATTTCTCCACTTCACTATTTCCCTAAACGGGTCTCTTCTGCAGGCTGCAACCTTTCCCTTCCCACCTCGATTCAGACTTCAATTCTATTACAAATTTGAATGTACACAATCATTGGCAAAGCTCATGTCTGATTGACGTCCTCCACGGTCCCCAAATGCAGGTCTAAGGGGGGGGGGAATGGAGGGAGATCACCGTCATGGGAGATCTGGGACGGGATCGTTCCGAATCTTCTCTTAGGAGGTGACGTGTCCGGTAACAATCTTCTTTTTCTTGAACAATTTCCTAAGGCCTTTCTTGAGCTTTTTGAAAACTCGGAGGAATCTCTTCACCCGTTTGGGCTGATCCTAGAGGGGAAGAGAAGGACGGTCTTTGATCAGGACTGGTTCCCCAACAGTCAGGACGAAAAGCAAGACACCTTCAGAATAGTCCTCGACTTACGACCCCAGCATTTCTGCTGCTGAGTGAGCCATTTTATTAAGTGAGACGACTTTTCTTGTCACAGTGGATACGTGAATCACTGCGGTTGATGGATAAGTAACCTGGTTGTTAAGTGAATCCCATGGACTTTGCTGGTCAGAAGGTCGCAAAAGGGGATCACGTGATACATCCCTCCCCGGGACACTGTGACCGTCATAAATACGAATCAGTTGCCAAATATCTGAATTTGGATCATGGGGTTAGGGTTAGGGGCATGGGGATGCCTCAATGGTCGCAACTGTGAAAAACGGTCATGAGTCACATTTTTCAGTGCCACAGTTATAACTTTGAACAGTCAGTAAACAAACGGTTGTAAGTCGAGGACTTTCTGTACAGAATACAGAATTGCAGAATTGGAAGAGGCCTTGGAGGTCTTCTGATCAACAGGTGGGCCTCAACAGAACTATGTATTATATCTTTCAAAAATCCCAGAGCACCAGGAAATTACCTGAGGATTGGAAAAGGTTCCCATCTTCTAAAAAGGGAAAAAATACAGACCTGGGAAATACAAACCAATCAGCTTAACATCAGTACCTGGGAAGATACTGGAAAAAAATAATCAAAAAAACATATCTGCCAACACGTAGAAACAAATGAAGTTATAACTAGTAGCTTGCATTAAAAACAGATCACGCCAAACCAATGTTATTTCATTCTATGACCTAGTGTCTAAATTAGTAGACCAGCAAAATGCTGTGGACATAGTATATTTAGACTTCAGTAAGGCATTTGACACAGTAGACCACGACTGATTTCTGGGTAAGCTAGAAAAATGGAGGATAGACAGCATCACCGCCTGATGGATTTGTAGCTCGCTGACAAACCATACTCAATGAGTAGTCTTTAACGGTACTACATCTACATGGAGGGAAGTAAACAATGGGATACCACAAGGTTCCGTCTTAGGCCCAGGACTCTTCAATATCTTCATAAATGACTTAGATGAAGGAATAGAAGGGGAACTCGCCAAATTTGCAGCTCACACTAAAATGGCAGGAATAGCCAATACCCCAGAAGACAAACTTGGGGTCCAAAAAAATCTTGACAGACTTGAACAATGGGCCCCATCAAACAATATAAAATTTAATGTGGAGAAAAGCAAAGTTTTAATTTAGGCAGGAAAAACCAAAGGTACAAGTACAGGGAGAGACCTTGGAGTCCTAGTGGACAATCCCTTAAATATGAGCCAGGCAATGTGCGGCGGCAGCCAAAAAAGCTAATACCATCCTGTGTTGTCTAAAGAGAGGCATAGAATCAAAATCACGTGAAGTAATTTATAAGTCTTATAAGTCTTATTATTATTATTTATTATTATTATTATTTATTCAATTTATATACCGCCCTTCTCCTATTGGACTCAGGGCGGTGCACAGCCAAAGATAAAAAACATACCAATACAAAATTTAAAATCAATTAAAAGAATTATACAACTTTGGCCCACAATTTAAAACAATCCAATTAAAACCCAATTTACACTTAAAAAGCTAAAAAGCTAAAAGAGCTTAAAAAAGGGGGGGGGATGTTCATGCCAGTCCTGCTTGATGGAAAAGAAAAGTTTTTAGGGAACGGCAAAAGGCCCGGAGATCTGGTATCCTTCGTATCTCCGGGGGCAAATCGTTCCAGAGGGCGGGGGCTGCCACAGAGAAGCCCCTTCCCCTGGGGGTCACCAGCCGACATTGCCTGGCTGATGGCACCCTGAGGAGTCCCTCTCTGTGGGCGCATACTGGTCGGTGGGAGGCTATCGGCGGCAGAAGGCGGTCCTGCAAATACCCAGGTCCGATGCTATGGAGCGCTTTAAAGGTGGTGACCAACACCTTGAACCTTATAAGTTTTTATAAGGCCTTAGTAAGGCCACACCTGGAATACTGCATCCAGTTTTGGTCACCACATAACAAAAAAGAGGTTGCGACTTTGGAAAAAGTGCAGAGAAGAGCATCTAAGATGATTAAAGGCCTGGAGACTAAAACATACAAAGAACGGTTGTAGGAGCTGGGTATAATGAAAAGAAGGACTAGGAGGGACATAATAGTCATGTTCCAATATTTGTGCTACAGAGAAGAAGGGAGTCAGACTATTTCCCAAAGCACCAAAAGGCAAGACAAGGTAAGACAGCATGATTGGAAACTAACCTAGGAGAGAAGCAACCTAGAATTAAGAAGAAATTTCCTAACAGTGAGACCAATCAACCCAAGGAATATCTTGCCTTCAGAAGCTGTGCGTGCTCCATCACTGGAGGCTTCCCAGAAGAGATTGGACAACGATTTGTCTGAAATAGTACTAGGTCTCCTGCTCCAAAGGGGGTTGGACTAGAAGACCTCCAAGGTCCCTTCCAACTCTATTATTCTATGTTGTAGTCCAACCCTTCTACTCAAGCAGAACAGCCTATATAATTTCAGGCAAATGGTTGTCCAGTCTCTTCTTAAAAACCACCAGTCTTGGAGCACTCACAACTTCTGAAGGTAAGTTGTTCCACTGGTTAATTGTTCTCATTGTTGCAACAGAATAACGGAACAACAGTTGGAAGGGTGCTTGGAGGTCTTCTAGTCCCACTTCCTGCCCAGGTAGAAAATCCTACACCAGGGGTCTCCCAACCTTGGCAAGACTTTAAGACTTGTGGACTTCAACTCCCAGAATTGATTAATTTCCATCCAATGTTTCTTGTCTTGCCTTCTGGTGCTTTGGAGAATACGTTACTGATGTGATTTGAGAAACGCAGATGGAAAAACGGTGTTGTTGTTGTTGTTTTTTGAGTAGGGTAGGGGGCTTCAAGAAGGAAACTCTGCCCATTTCATGGGAGAAATAGGAGAAATGGCATGGGAGACGATGGATATGATTTAAGCTCAAACCTAGAACTTTCAGTTTCAGAAGCTGGAATGCAGGAAGCAGAAAATACATTTGCACAATCTTGCAGAACGATTAGTCTCTCCTTTCCCACCCCATCCTTAAGAAAAGCATCGAGTTATGAATCGAGTTATTTCCTCAAAGTGCTTCTCCCTCGCCTTCCGAGAAGACCTCCGTCTTTAAAGTCTAAGTTCTCAAAACGGGGAACCTTAAGAGGACTCTCCGCAGAGTCCTGAAGGAAACAGGAAGAGAAATTCTTATGGCTTTCCAGAAATGACTTAATTATGTTTAAGTCAACAGTGTTTATGTTTAATATCTCAACAGTGGGCAGGTTACCGGTTCAGGAGGAACCAAAGCTCAAATCCCACCTATAAGTGGAATTTCTTCGCTAAAACATGTGGCATAGAACTACCTCCTTCTAGGTTTGAAGGTTGTCACAGGAGGCCCCAGAGATCCCAGCAACTTCTAAACTTGTCCTGCTCCTCCTCTTATTAATTCTCCTTCTCCTCTTCCTCCTTCCTCCTCTCTGCAAATCTCCTTCCCTTCTAGCACTGATGACATTCCCTAGTTGGGTCATGAAACATCTGCAAGAAAACCACCCAACTTGGAGAATAATAAGGACCCCCCCCAAGATGTCTTCCTCCTCTTCTTCCTGCTCCTGCTTCTCTTCCCCCCTGCAAACTCTCCTCCCTTCTAGCACTGATTAAGTTTCCTACTTGGGTCATGAAACATCTGCAAGAAAACCACAACAGTCAGAGAGCACCAAGGACTTGACAGTTCAACTGAGCTACAAATTTCACAAATTACTTAATTTTGTTTCTAGCATGTCTCAACACTGGGCAGGTTGCTGGTTCCTTCCTCCTCCTCCTCCTCCTCCTCCTCCTCCTCCTCCTCCTCTTCCCCCCTTCAAGCCCTCCTCCTCCTTTCTAGCCCTGATGACATTCCCTAGTTGGGTCCTGAAATGTCTGCAAGAAACTCACCGAGCTCGGAGAACACTAAGGACCTGGCAGTTCAGCTCTGAACTACAAATTTTTATGGTTTCCCCAAATTATTTAATTATGTTGCATGTCTCAACATTGGACAGGTGGCTGGTTCAGGAGGAGCCAAAGCTTGGGAGATGTCATTGAGGTGGAACCTCCTCTCTAAAAGATGGGGCAAATGTAGGATCTCAGGTGAGATGGGCTCTCCTTTGCGTTGCCAATGGTTCAACCCTCCTTCTAGGGTTAGAGCTCGTGGCAGGAGGACCCATCCATCACACTGAGTTCTTCTTACCTTCTCCTCCTTCTCATCTTCCTTCTTCTTCTCTTCCTTCTTGTTCTTAGCCTGGTTCTCCTCCTCCTCCTCCTCTTCCTTCTTCTCCACTTCTTCTCCTTTCTCCTCCTCCATTCTACCCACAACTACACAGGTGAGTACAATCACTGGGGGCCTCTCATCAAAGAAGTAGTAGCCAGTACATTGCCTGACCACCTGCAGAGGAGAAAAATGCATAAATAAAAGAGAGAGAGGGAGAGAGGGAGAGAGGGAGGGAGGGAGGGAGGGAGAGAGAAGTTCCCTGAGGATGGGCTTCAGCACAAGTCTGAAAGCTTGGAAGACTAAATTTCTGGACCTGGTGACCGACACAGATTGGATCATGCAGAAAAAAGATCACCGAGATTCAAGCTATCTCCCAGAATTGATTACATGGAGGCCACCATCTGATTTCCTAAGGAGGAATCTTGGATCAGCCCCTGACATTGTTTCAACCATGTCCTCCAACATGGTTAGACAAGCTAACCTGCTTCAACCTCAGTCTCTCCATGTACCTTTTGGTGGAACAGGAAGCGACTCCTGAAGGGTTCAAGTTTTGGGTCCCTTCTCCAACCATGGTGGTGGACATCAGTAAGAGTTGACTTGGAGAACCTAGAGGAAGAATGTCCTCCAAGACAAAAGTGGAAGGGAAAGAGGCAATCTTTAAATATGCTCTTTCTTCACTCCAGTGGGGATCGACAGCCGGTTTCAGCTCTGCCAGGAAGGTCCTACAGGACTTTCTGTAGGACCGGTGGCCCTGTCTCCATCTACAATAGATCACTAGCATCAATAACTTACCCCGTCTTCTTTGAAGTCACATTCATCAAAGAAAACCACATCTTCCAACAGGCACATGGTCTCTTTGATGGTGAAGTTCAGCTCTTGATGGCTTTCAGAAATGGGATCCTGAAACAAGAAGATGGTTAGTTTGAAGGCCATGTACACCTTCTCCCATTTTACATTGGAACTCTTTCTGAATGACTCTTGACGTAGCCAACAAATGTAGCTAAAGAGAGCAGAGTCCATGCGGGTTCCAGAAGTTCTGGATTCCATGCCCATCATCCTGACTGACCATAGATGAAAACTCTTGAAGAGCTCCATGCTAGGAGAACTAGGATGGCTGGATTCCCCCTTTCTCACTAGCTCACCGGCAGTCTCAGAACTGCTGTCCATCAGGGATGGGTCTTCTCTACAAAAGGCTCTAAACAAGCCCACAGTGGACCTGAACTGAAGAGTACGTACCCAATCAGGCTCTGCAAGAACCTCCAGAAGCCGATATACACAGTCTTCCCCCGCTTTGCTATTGTAGATGGCCACTGCAAGGTTCACAGCCTTTTCGTAGGTCAAGGATTTATTATGTGGTAGTGAGGAGCAACCAAAGACTGCAAGAGCTCCAACTACCAGCCAGGTCTTCCAGAAGCTCCCTTCCATCTTTGGTTCTTCTGCTAAGGAGGTCCACAGCTGATGTGGTCCTCGGGAACAGGTCTCCTCCTTTTATGTCCTGATACACAGGTCGTACGTTCTCTGGCTGACGGCCAAAATTTCCACCCTCCCCACTGAATTTTCTGAGGTCCTTCCTGCACGTTCTCCTTGGGAGGGGGACCAACACAAAAGGGGAAGTGTTTTGTTCAGGTGGGAAACTGCAATATAAAGGAACAGGTGCAGAGGAGACCCATGCAGAGTGATCAGTGTAGATTGTAATCACCTCCATTTTTTTCCCATTCACAAAGGCTAGGGATGGATGCCAAGGTGTAACTTCAGAGTAGGAGACCTTCAATAATATTGTGCAGGATCTTCTGTCTCTGGCATTTTCCAGGTTGCCTGTGACAACCGACAGCAATGGTGGTTGTGTTGCTGCTCTTCGTCCCTCGTTGTCATCTACACTCCAGAGGTGGATTTCATGTAATTTTACCACCGATTGAATTCTCGTCCTAAATTCTCCCTTGGGAGCTTTCTGAAATCCTGGCAATTTTTAGATTTGGGGCTCTGAAACGGGGTCCAGATTTTTTTTTTTAAAAAAAGCTGATGGTCAAGTCTTCTCCAAGCCTAATTAAGTCAAGGCTTCTTTGGGGCCAAGCTTACTTCTGGGTTATCTTAGCAAGACATCCATGTAGGAGAAGGGATGGGGGTGAAGAGGGGCATCAGTCTAGAATCCCTACGTAGTCATAAGCAAACTAAGTCCAAGTCTCCTTGAGTGGCACTGATTGTTAGCTATCTCTTAGCAAGGGCCAAGCGTTAGTGGACTCTGTTATTCTGAAATATTACAGGCTCTCCTGCTTGAGCTGGACTAGAAGACCTCTAAGGTCCCTTCCAACTGATCTTCTGTTATCAGTGGCCCACAAAGTCCCAGATTCAGGGTGGGGGACCAGAATGGGGTTTTCTTTGACAAGTTTTATTAGTTTTCCCCCCCTCCCAATACACCCCCATGTTTTTTGAAACAGAGTATTGACCATACCATATCATATACAATTTATCATATCAACATATATTTTACTTAAGTTACAGTTTCTGCCAAAGTGTTCTTTTTCCATGTTCGTTAATCAAATCTTAATTTTTCTATTCTTATTTCTATAAACTTCTTTCACCCTCAGATTCTGGTTTTTTCCATTCTTAATCATATGCATTCTCCTTTAATTTTTTTTATTATTATTTTTAAATAATTCATTCTTCATCTTAATATATTTAAAGGTGTTTCTTCCATTTCATCTTTTTTTGTTTTACAGCAATCTTTCTCCTCTTCCTCTCTCCCCCTTCTTTTATCCTTCCTACCTTCTTCTTTCCTCCTCTCCTATTCCTTCTCTACTTCCCCTTCCTTTCTCCCTCTCCTCCTTTCCTCCCCCCATCTAACTTTCTCTCCTATTCTTATTCCCCTTTCCTTTCTTGTTCTCCTCTTCCTTTTCTTCTCGGGAACCAGAATGTTGAACCGGCAATTTAGGAGGCTGATTGTCCCCATGGCATAGGGTCAGTCTATAGGTGGGACTGCCTTTTTCCTGTGGTTTCTGCTCGTCCCACCAGTTCTAAGAGGTAGGGCAGGTTCTGGGTCCCTTTGGTCAAGCAATGACCAAAGACCCATTGTCTTCTCTGGGGCAGCACCTGAACTGCGAAACACCTCCACCCCCCACCCCAAAATCCAGATATTCCCAATCCTGTTTGTAGTGGAATGGAACGACTAAAAAACATTCCCAGGCCAGTCAGAGACAGTTTATTGCGCAAGGTTCAGAGCCAGATTTGTACCTGAAGCTTTGAAAAAAAAGGAAGAACTCTGATACAATGGTTTTTATACATTTCTAAGACAAAGGATTCAGTGAGATCATACATTTTCCATATATGGTTAATCATGAGATCATACATCCAATTTTCCTTCTATGGTTACATCCACTTGTTAATAAGTTCATCTAATTACTTAAAGCATTAATCTTAGTTTATAAAATTATCTTAGCCACACAACTTTTCTTAAGTGCTCAGAGTTGCTAATGGGAGAGTTACTACTGTCCTTGGGTAAATTCATTAGATTAAGTAACTCTTTGTAACATATAGGTCTTTGTGTCATTCACAGTCAGGTCACTCAGATGTTTTTCCATATAGCAGTCCTTTCTGTGACATCTAGGTATCAGAAGATATATTACCACTTAAAAGGGTTTAACTGTTTGTTAATGTAATTTCCAACAAGCACTTTCCTCTCTTATAATAATGTGAATAGAGAGGTTCTCTCAGAGTTCATGTATCTAAGCACGTCTTCCCTTTATAATAATGTGAATAGAGAGGGTCCCCCAGAGCCCATATATCTGACTCTGTATGATTCCTATTTTATTCACATTATTTCTTTTATCTACATTATTCTTTATTTGCTCTTTACCTCATGTTAGACTCCCAACAGGTTCAGCCGCCCAGAGTCCTAGGGAGTTGGGCGGCATAGAAATATGATTAAATTAAATTAAATTAAATTAAATTCTGCATTTCTGACAAAGTCCTCCTCCCCCAAGCCCCAGGACCTGGGGCAGGCAGTGGGGTGAACGCTGCTGTTGGTGGGGTTTTGTGATCGAGACGGATTGTTTGCAATTGTGGATATTCATCTATGTGCACCACCCTCATTGCGCGATGGGTGGCCATGGAAACCATCAAACAACAGGTAAAGAAATTCATATCTTCCACTCAGTGACCCTTGGAAGGGACTCGTGTTTTTCAAGTTACAAAAGGGAGGAAGTCTTAAGTAGCACAGGAGAGAAAAACACGTCTCTGACACTTTGGTGTAGGGGTGAAGGTGCTGGCCTAAAAACCAGGAGACGGTGAGTTCTAGTCCCACCTTAGACATGAAAGCCAGCTGGGTGACTGTGGGCCAATCACCAGGAGATGGTGAGTTCTAGTCTTGACTTTGGCATGAAAGCTGGCTGGGTGACTGAGGGCCAATCACCAGGAGACGGTGAGTTCTAGTCCCACCTTAGACATAAAAGCCGGCTGGATGACTGAGGGCCAATCACCAGGAGACGGTGAGTTCTAGTCCCACTCTAGACATGAAAGTTAGCTGAAAGCTCTTTGGGCTATCTCCCTCTCTCTCAAACTCCCTCACGAGGGTGTAGTTGTAGAGGAAATAGGAAGAGGAAGAAATATTAGCTATATTTGCTGCCTTGTATTATTTCTAAAAACAAGAAAGGCAGTTTAAAAAATGTATGCAAAAACTTTTACAAAGTCATCCGTTGAGTGCTATTGTATTATTGTGGCTGTTGTCCTTGGCAGCTACGGTATGCATTGTGATTATTGTTGGTTTTATACACTTTTAAGTTGGAAGCTTGCCCCGAGTTGCTATTGCAAAAGAGGTAGTTGCATTAAAGGATTAAAGCGAACAAACTTTCTTTCTTGAAAGAGCAACTTCTTGAAGGTGTTGGCTAAGATTCAACAACGGTTTAAGGGAACATAATTAGAAGACAGATCAATCAATTGGTTAGAGAAGATTTGGAAAACCAGAGGTGAGAAATTATGGACAGTACCTCACTATTCCTGGCCTGGTATTTGCATAAAGAACTGGGAAATTTTCAGGAGTTTCTGGATTCAAAGATTAAAAAATTTAATGATTAACATTTTGTCTTCCTCTTATTTAATTTAGCAAGCAGAATCACTGCTCAGCCTTGAAAACATTGCAAGAGTGGAGGACAAACTCTCCTTGCAAACTATTTTAAGTAGAAAGGAGAAAAAGAGAAGAAGAAAAGAGAGGAATAATTCAGGTAGTCCTCTACTTACGACCACAATTGAGCCCAAAATGCCTGCTGCTAAGTGAGACATTTCTTAAGTGAGTTTTGTCCCATTTTTCGACCTTTCTTGCCACAGTTCTTAAGTGAATCCCTACACTTATTAAATTAGAATTAAATTAAATTATTAAATTAGTATTAAATTAAATTAGCTCATTTTTTTCTTGCCATGTACATGTATACATCCAAACTAGACTGCGTTGTTTCTCTGGGTCATATATGTGGGTATATACATAATTTTCTGTTTATTTATTTGTTTGTTTATTTTAATTATTTATTTATTTAGTCACATTTATTTAGTGTATATTAAAGGTGGTGACCCTTTGAGAGCTGTATGAAATGAATTTTCCTTTTATATTCCTTTTAATATATGCCAATTAGCATACATTCAAAATGACAATAAAGTTATTCTAAGCCTAGTAACACGGTTGTTAAGTGAATCTGGCTTCCCCATTGACTTTGTTCTGAAACTCTGTTGTAACCACAGCTACCATGTGCTTTACTGCTCAACTGTTTAACTGTAACAGGAAACAGGAAACTCTACTTAGAACAAAAGAGCATAGAGTATATACCATAGAGCCCAACTTGTAAACACTGCCATCTACTGACTGAATACAACTGTAGTGGTTGCATTGCATTCCAACAATGAATTCCAGCAATTTGCATGTGGGAAGGGCGCAAAATGGGATCACGTGAGAATCTGCAGCCGACATAAATGCGAGTCGGTTGTCAAATGTCTGAATATCAACCACAGGGATGATGCGATGGTCGTGCGTGTGAAAAACACTCGTAAGTTCCTTTTTTCTGGGATGTTGTAACTTCAAACAGTCGCTAAATGAATTGTTGTAACTCGAGGAGCATCTGTATTGCAATCTACATAAAAATATCATAAAGGGGAAAGAATTGGGAATAAAGGAACAGAAACTGTTGAAATAGAAGGAAAACAAGAGAAATAGGGAACAAATTAGAGGAAGGATGTAAAAACTGCTTTCGCCATGAACAAAAAAAAGAAAAATATTTTTACAAAGGAGAGATTGTCCTGCTCTGTTCAGCATTTATTTCCATTTTTTAAAAGCTGCCTTAGAAGTATTTCTGCCAATTTCCCCATTTCCTTCGACCCCTTTCTCTAATTTGTCTCTTCTGCCTGCCGGTCCTCGGCTTACGACTTCAACTGAGCCCCAGACTTCTCCTCCTATATCAAACAGCCGTTAAGTGAGTTTTACCCACAGCCTTTCTTGCCTCCATTAAGCAAATTGCCCTACGATCATTAAGTTAGTCACACAATTGTTAAGTGAATCTGGCTTCCCCATGATTACGTGACCCTGGGGCAATGGAACATTGTCATAAATACGAGTCAGCTGCCATGCGCCTGAATTTTGATCATGTGACTGTGGGGATGCTGCGACGGTCGTAAGTGCGAAAAACAGTCATAAGTCTTTTTTTTTTTTCAATGGCATTGTAACTTTGAGCAGTCCCTAAACAGACCATTGTAAGTCAAGGACTAGCTGTATGAGCCAATTGCTACATGGGGCCATGGAAATGTGAAAAAAGGGTCGAGAATCACTTTTCCCCCCCCCAGTGCCGATGTAACTTGGAACGGTCACTAAACAAACGGTCGTAACTGGAGGGCTACCTCCTGGGTTTGGATTCTCCAAGATTGCCTCGGAGTTACGGCTTTCTGCGTCGATCAATTGTGCTTCGAAAATTCAGGGGAAACGTACAACCAAACCAGAGGAAATTGTAATTTAATCATTTAGCCAGTCCGAATTAGGTTAGTTTTTCAACGTAGGTTTAAGAAGGAAAAACGGAGACTCTGCATCTTTTCCCGTGGAGATTCTTCTGGGATCGGAGATTGGAGCCACTCTGGATCCTCATCGTTTACCAGCGGAAATGGGAACCGATGGCCATTTGGGTTTTCTTTATAAATGTCTTGATGCCGTTCTTGATCTTCTTGAAAAATTTCTTGAATCTCTTGACCCGCCTGGGCTGACCCTAGAGAGGAAGAGAAGGACCGCACATGTGGTTAGGGCTGGGTCCCCAACGGGTAGCCCCCGGGGGGGGGCATCTAACCCCTTCCTCTTTCTTCTTCCCTGCTCAGCTTCTGTCCTGCTCGATATTTTCCCTTATCCCCAATTCTGTTTCCTCCGCTATATTTTATCTAGATTTGAGGATCAAATTTCCTGTCCTTTCTCCTTTTTTCTTTTCTACTCATTTTGGCCTGAATGGGTCGTGAACAGAATTATAGGTAGTCTAGAACTCCCCGTCTCCTGGTGGTTGGGCCAAAGACACCCAGTCGGTTTCCATGCCTAAAGCAGGACTAGAACTCACCATCTCCTGGTGATTGGCCCAAAGTTGCCCAACTGGCTTTGGCAGGGCTAGAACTCAAGCTGAAAGGTGAAACTTTTGAGCTAAACTCACATCGATCCAGAAGTGGGATTCACGTACTGTAACAACTGGTTCGCCCAGCACTGGAAATGGGAATGCGTGTGGTGTCACAAAACACGGCAATTCACTCGTGCGTGCTGTCCTCACATGCATGCAGTGTTAAAAACACAGCGATATAAGACGGGATTGTGCCCAGGCAGGTGGGGGCCCTCCCGCAGGTCACCAAGGCTTAAAACCACCTCTGCACCCATCGTCTCCTGTGCCCCAAAAGTGGGCAGAATCTCCTTCCTGAAAGCCCCCTTCCTTTCTCAGCAACTCCATTTTTAACCTGCGTTTTTCAAATCACGACTGCAATGGATGTGCCTTTGATTTGAGAGAGGTGGAGCTCTTGCCTCACCATCAGGAGGTTGTGAGTTCGATCCTAGGTCGAGGCAGATGTTTGGGCAGGAGATTGGACTCGATGACCTGCAAGATCCCTTCCAACTCTTGTTAATCTGTTAAATGCAGATTAAAAATGGCATTGCAGGGAAGGGCAGGGGGCTTCAGGAAGGAGGTTCTGCCCACTTCTGGGAGCTCAACCCTTAACCTTTCAACTTCAGAAACTGGAAGAGGGAAAAAAATGCCTTTGTATGGTTTTGCAAAGCCAAATCTGCCTTTCTCCTCCCACCCCATCCCTGCAGAGTCCGGGATCGAGTGATTATTTCTGTCCTCCATGAGCTTGTCCCTCCCCTCTGAAGAAGACCTCGCTCTCCAAGGTCTAAAGTCTCAAAACTTAGAGAAGCACATCAGCCCTCAGGAAGAGAAATTCCTACAGCTCCTCGGAAATTATTTATGTCTCCAGAGGGTCTCAACAGTGGACAAGCGTCAGGTGGAACCTAAGCTTGGGAGATGTTTCCTCTCTAAAACTTGCGGCAAATGTAGGCTCCCAGCTGAGATGGGGTCTTCTCCCCCTTGTAAATGGTTCAACCCTCCTTCTAGGTTTAGAGCTCATCAGAACCATCAAACCATCTTCTTACCTCCTCCTCTTCCTTCTTCCCTTCCCTCCTGTCTGCAAGCAGGAAGTACCCATCCATCAGACCACCTTCTTACCTTCTCCTCTTCCTCCTTCTCCTCCTCCCTTCAAACCCTCCCTCCCTTCTAGCACTGGTGGTGTTCCCTAGTTGGGCCATGAAACATCTGGAAGAAAGCCACTAAGCTCAGAGAGCTCCAAGGACCCCACAGTTCTCCTCCTTTCCTTCCTCCTCTTCTTCTTCTTCCTCTTCTCCTGCCCCCCTTCAAACCCTCCTCCTTTCTAGCCCTGATAATGTTATCTAGTTGGGTCCTGAAATATCTGCAAGAAACCCACCGAGCTCGGAGAACACTAAGGACCTGTCAGTTCAGCTCTGAGCTACAAATTTCTACGGTTTCCACAAATTACTTAATTGTGTTTCCAGCATGTCTCAACATTGGGCAGGTGGCTGGTTCAGGAGGAGCCAAACCTTGGGAGATGTCATTGAGGTGGAACCTCCTCTCTAAAAGATGGGGCAAATGTAGGACCTCGGGTGAGACGGGGTCTCCTTTGCCTTGCCAATGGTTCAACCCTCCTTCTAGGGTTAGAGCTCATGGGAGGAGGACCCATCCATCACACTGAGTTCTTCTTACCTTCCCCTCCTCCTCCTTCTTCTCCTCCTGTTTGTCCTCCACTTCCTTCCCTTCTTCCTCTTTCTCCTCCTCTTCTCTCTTCTTCTCCTCCAGTCCAGCCACAGGTGCACAGATGACTACAATCACTGGGGGTCTCTCCTCAAAGAAATAGTAGCTTCTGCATTGTCTGACCTCCTGCAAAGAGAAAAGAATACATGGAAAGAATCAAGCTATCACCCAGAATTTCACAGATGCCACCACCTGCTTTGCTATGGAGAAATCTTGGGTCAGCCCCTGAGGTTGCTTCAACAGTGTCCTTCATTAGACAAGCTCTGCCTCAATCTCCATGTGTACTTTAGAAGGGTTCGTTGAAGGGTTCAAGTGTTGGGGTCCCTTCTCTATCGATGGCATTGGGCCTAAGTGTTGAGTTGGAAAACAGAGAAGACACTCAAGACAAAGGTAGAAGAGAAAGAGGCAGCCTCAGATATGCTTTATCTTCAACTCAGTGGGGATGGAATCCAGTTTCATCTCTGCCCAGAAGATCCTATGGATGTCCCATGGCCTCGAAACATTGCCAGTCCAGGTTAGCATCCATCACTCACCCCATCTTCTTGGAAGTCACATTCCTCCAAAGAATGTTCGCTTTTCACTGGACACACTGTCTCCTTCATGGTGAACTTCAGCACTTGAGTGCTTTCAGAATTGGGATCCTGAAACAAGACACAGTCAAGGAGATGATTAGTCTGGAGGCCACTTGACCTTCCTCCCACATTACCTTGGAACTACGTGGAATGACTCTTGACGGAGCCACCAGAATGTGGTGGCTCCATCTGCTCTACAGAGCAGAGTCCATACATGTTCTGGATTCCATGCCCATCATCCTGATTGACTGTAGATGAAGGCTCTTCAAGATCTCCATGATAGGAGAACAAGATGGATGGATTCCTCCTTTTTTCACTAGCTCACTGGCGGTCTCAGAACTGCTGCACCTCAGGGATGGGTCTTCTCTACAAAAGGCTCTAAACAAGCCCACAATGGACCTGAACTGAGGAGTACATACCCAACCAGGCTCACCAAGAGCCTCCAGAAGTTGGTATACACAGACTTCTCCTGCTTTGCTACAGTAGATGGTCACAGCAAGGCCCACAGCCTTGTCACAGGTCAGTAGTTTGTGTGGAAGTGAGGAGACCCCACAGATTTAAAGAGCCCCCCACCCCTTCACCCATGTCTTCCAGAAACAGCCTTCCATTCTCGGTTCTTCTACCTTGGAGGTCCACAGCTGATGGGTGGGTCTCTCTTTTTCAGTTACCTTTCTGGACTCCTTCCCACTACGGATGGGTCTACTCTTCAACGGCTCTAAACAGGACAGGATCAAGTCCATTGTGGACCTGAAACAGAGAGTACGTACCCACTCAGGCTGAGGAACAGCCTCCAAGAGACGGTAGAGAAAGTTTTCTGCTGCTTTGCTATTGTAGATGGCCACTCCAAGCTCCACGGCCTTGTCATAAGGCAGCGGTTTGTGTGGAAGTGAGAAGGTCCCACCGATTGTAAGAGCTCCAACCACCAGCAAGGTCTTCCAGTCCATCCTTGCTTCTTCTGCTAAGGAGGTCCACAGCCGATGTGGTCCTCAGGATCAAGCTGTCTCCTTTTATGCCCTGATACGCAAGTTGTCCACTCGCTGGTGGATGGCCAGGGGTTTTCCATGCTGAATTTTCTGAGGTCCTTCCTGCACAATTTGACATTTTGGAGAGTAGGGCTGAGACAAAGCAGGGCCAATCAAAAACTGTTTTGTTCAGGTGGGAAACTGGAGGACAAAGAAACAGGTGCTGCACCTGGCAGACTCATGGAAAGTGGTTGGTGTACATTACGGTCACCTCCATTTCTTTCCATTCTCAAGGGCTGGGGATGGGTGCCAAGGTGTAACCTCAGAGTAGGAGACCTTAAAACAGGATCTTCCGTCTTTGCGTTAGGGTTGTGAACTGTCGAGTAGCAGTCCAGAGAAAAAACATGTCCCGCAAACTGTGATATAAATGAGGCACTTTGGTGGAGGGGTGAAAGTGCAGGCCGAAAACTGTGAGTTCTAGTCCCACCTTAGGCATGAAAGCCTGCCCAGTTACTATTTATATTTATTTATTTATTAAATTTATATACCGCCCTACTCCCGAAGGACTCAGGGCGGTGAACAGGCAAAAGATAAAATACACATAGTACAAATGTTAAAAAACCAATTAAAAATACATTAAATACTTTGGCCCAAAACAAATTTAAAACACCCCAATTTATAAAACAAATTTAAAAGCAATTAAAAGGGAGGTTAGGCCAGACCAGCCTGCTGGAATAAGAATGTTTTGAGGGCATGGTGGAAAGTGCGCAAATCCAGGATCCTCCGTATCTCCGGGGGGAGCTCATTCCAGATGGCAGGTGTCCCCACAGAGAAGGCTCTCCCCCTGGGGGCCGCCAGTCGACATTGTTTGACCGACGGCACCCTGAGAAGACCCTCTCTATGGGAGCATACTGGTCGGTGAGAGGCTACTGGTGGCAGAAGGCGGTCTCGTAGGTACCCCGGTCCTAAGCCATGAAGCGCTCTAAAGGTGGTAACCAAAACCTTGAAGCGCACCCGGAAGACCACCGGGAGCCAGTGCAGCTCGCGCAGGAGGGGAGTCACATGGGAGCACCACGTCGCTCCCATCACCACCCGTGCAGCTGCATTCTGGACCAGCTGGAGCCTCCGGTGCTCCTCAAGGGGAGTCCCATGTAGAGAGCATTGCAGTAGTCCAGGCGGGAAGTGACGAGGGCATGAGTGACCGTACATAACAAGTCCCAATCCAGAAAGGGACGCAACTGGCGGATCAGGCGAACCTGATAAAAAGTCCTCCCAGCCACAGCCGTCAAATCCTCTTCTAAAGACAGCCGTGAGTCCAGGAGGACACCCAAGTTGCGAGCCCTCTCCATGGGGGCCAAAGACTCGCCCCCAATAGTGATGGCACCAACTGACTATATCGGGACGTAGGAAACCACAGCCACTCGATCTTGGATGGGTTGAGCCTGAGTCTGCTTCTCCCCATCCAGATCTGTACAGCCCCCAGGCACCGGGACATCACTTCAAGGGCATCATTGGGGTGATCCGGGGTGGAGATGTACAGCTGAATATCATCAGCGTACTGATGGTATTTCACCCTGAAACCACGGATGATCTCACCCAGCGGCTTCACATAAATGTTGAACAGAAGGGGCGAGAGGACCGACCCCTGTGGCACCCCACATACAAGGGGCCTTGGGGTCGACCTCTGCCCCCCTGTCAACACAGACTGCGACCGGTCGGAGAGAAAGGAGGAGAACCATTGCAACACGGTGCCCCCCACCCCTAACTCTTCCAACCGGTGCAGCATGATACCATGGTCGATGGTATCAAAAGCCGCTGAGAGGTCTAATAGGACCAGGACAGAGGAGCAACCCCTGTCCTGAGCCCTCCAGAGATCATCACCCAATGCGACCAATGCCGTTTCCGTGCTATATCCAGACCTGAAGCCCGACTGGAATGGATCTAGATAAGCTGATTCATCCAGGTGTTGAGGAAGCTGTCGGGCTACCACACACTCAACAACCTTCACAACAAAGCGGAGGTTGGAGACTGGACGATAGTTGGCTAACACTGCTGGGTCCAGGGAAGGCTTCTTGAGGAGAGGCCTCACCACCGCCTCCTTCAAGGCGGCAGGGAAGACACCCTCACTCAAGGAAGCATTAATAATCCCCTGGAGCCAGCCTCGCGTCACCTCCTGGGAAGCCAGCACCAACCAGGAGAGACACGGGTCCAATAAACATGTGGCCGTGCTCAGTCTGCCCAGTATCCTGTCCACGTCTTCGGGAGTCACAGGATCAAACTCTTCCCAGATAATATTCTCAAGACCTGCCTCCATCATCCCTCCTGAATCTACCCAGTCAGAGTCCAGGTGTTCCCGAATCTGAGTGATTTTGTCATACAGATACTGTACAAAGTCCTCGGCTCTACCCTCCAAGGGGTCCTCCTGCGCTCCCTGGTGGAGCAGGGAGCGGGTCACCCTAAAGAGGGCGGCCGGGCGATTATCTGATGACGCAATAAGAGCGGAAAAATAATTACATTTTGCCGCTTTTATCGCCACCAGGTAGGTCTTAATATGAGACCTTAGTAGTGTTCGGTCTGATTCAGAACGGCTGGCCCTCCAACTGCTCTCCAGGCGTCTTTTCTGGCGTTTCATCTCCCTCAGCTCCTCGGTGAACCAAGGAGCCAGGTGAGACCGGCGCTGGGTCAGAGGCCGCAAAGGCACAACCCGGTCCAAAGCTCCAGCGGCCATCCTATCCCAGGTGGCCACTAGTCGAGCCGTGAGCCAGAGCCTCAGGAAATGGCCCAAGCTCCATCTGGGACCTATCCGGATCCATCAGGCGCCTGGGGTGGAACCACCTCATCGGTTCCGCCTCCCAGCAGCGGGGTGTAGTGGTTCGAAGGTCAAAGCGAAGGAGGGAGTGATCCGACCATGACAAGGGCTCGATCGCTATATCCCCTATCGCAAGATCACTCAGCCACTGAGCAGAGACAAAAACCAAGTCCAGTGTGTTTCCCCCCGTGTGAGTAGGGCCATGAACTAACTGGGTCAGGTCCATAGCCATCATGGAAGCCATGAACTCCCGAGCCACCTCAGATGCCTCACCGATGGATGGCAAGTTAAAATCCCCCATGACCATAAGCCTGGGGGTATCAACCGCCACCGCGGCTACAACGTTGAGCAGCTCGGGCAGGGCCACCGCCACGTGGCAGGGAGCCAGGTACATAACCAGCACGCCCATCTGCACCCTGTAACCCCACTTCACAAGGAGGGACTCACATCCGGCCGTCTGAGGAACAGTGGCCTCCCTCGGACCAAGACTTTCTCTAATGACAACCGCCACCCTCCCGCCCCTCCCCTGTGCCCTCGGCTGATGAAATGCGCGAAAACTGGGTGGGCACATTTCAACAAGGGGGACCCCCCCCTCCTGGCCCAGCCAAGTCTCCGTAATACCGCCCGGTTCGGTCCCCCCTCCTGAACAAGATCGCAAATGAATGAATAACTAGGAGACAGGGAGTTCTAGTTTCACGTTTGGCATGAAAATTGGCCAGGTGACTTTGAGGTGATTCCAGGAGATGGTAGATTTTAGTCCCACCTTAGGCATGAAAGCAAGATGGGTGACTGGGCCAATCACCAGGAGTCTGTGAGTTCTAGTTTCAGCTTTAACATGAAAGGTGGCTGGGTGACTTCGGGCCATCTCTCTCTCTCTCTCTCTCTCTCTCTCTCTCTCTCTCTCTTTCTCTCCTCCTCTCTCTCTCTCCTCTCTCTCTCTCTCTCTCTCTCTCTCTCCTCTCTCTCTCTCTATATATATATATATATATATATTATATATATATATATATATATATATATATATATATATATATATCTGCCTACCTCACAAAATTGTGACTGTGGGGAAAATAGAAAAGAAAGGGATATTAGATATATTTGATGCTTCGAGTTATTTATAACAATAATGAACACAGTTTTTAAAAATGTAAACAAAAGTGAGGCTGTGACTTGGTTGTTATGGCATTATTGTGCCTGTTGTTGTCCTTGGCTGCCAGGGTGTGTGTTGTCGTGTTAGTTGGTTTTATCGTGTTTAACTTGGTTAGCTGCCCGAAGTTGCAGTTATGGGTGGTTACAGAAATGGATTAAAGTGGATTAAAGTCCATGGACAAACCCCATCAAGGGTGTTGTCTAAGAGTCCACAAAGACTTGAAAGCACCTGATCCATCAATCAATCGATTGATTAGAGGCAATTGTGTCAAATTATATAGGGTCTCCTGCTCGAACAGGGAGTTGGACTAGATGACCTCCGAGGTGCCCTCCAAATCTGTCATTCTATGGCTTTTCTTTAAGGTTCTCCTGCTTGAGTAGGGAATTGGACTAGAGCAGTGTTTCTCAACCTTGGTAGCTTGAAGATGGGGTGGACTTCAACTCCCAGAATCCCCCAGCCAGCAACGCTGGCTGGGGGTTTCTGGGAGTTGAAGTCCCCCCATCTTCAAGCTTCCAAGGTTGAGAAACACTGGACTAGAGGGATGGGCAAATGTGGCTCTTTTACAACCTGTGGACTTCAACTCCCAGAATTCCTGAGACAGCTTCTCAGGAATTCTGGGAGTTGAAGTCCACAGGTTGTAAAAGATAGATGACCCTCAAGATCCCTTCCATCCTTTTTCTTCTATGATTCTGTGAGGATCTCCTGTTTGAACTGGGGGCTGGACTAGATGACCTCCCAGGTCCCTTCCAACACTGTCATTCTACGATTCTCTAAGGGTCTCCTGTCTGAGCAAGGAATTGGGCTAGAAGACGTCCAAGGTCTCTTCCAGCTCTATTCTGATAAGGTAAGATAAGGTAAGGTAGGGTTAGGGTAGGGTAGGATAAAGTATAACAAGACAAAACAAGACAAGGAGATAATATAAGACAGATATAAGATAAGCTTTATTGTCATTTTTTTATTTGGAGCACACAGACCCACATTAAAAATGAAATTCTGATGCCTCCCCTCAAAACAGAATTAGTGGACAACCATTTAAATAGGAGCCAGCCGTGTGCAGCAGCTGCCAAAAAAGCCCAC